AACCCTAAACCTTACCTTAACTTAAATCGCACTTCTGTCGGCGCGCTGTTGTCGGCGCGCTTTTGACATCACGGTTTTGTCGCCGCGGTTTTGACGTTCACGCTTTTGTCGGGTCACGAAATTCATCGACTGGCTGAATAGGAAACCCCATAAAAGCAGTGGTCTGGTCTTTAGAAACAGAGGCACCTCCTTTGTTGACTGATGATAATGAGCAAAAAGGTCTAGTGAGCAGAGTTAATTGCTCCAGCAGAAAGGAAGACAGATTTGTCCTCTTCCTTGTTTTTACAAAAGGAATTTGGAGAAAGATATTTTGGGGGAAAAGAGGTTCTAGCACAGCAATTTTGTCAACCCTCCCAGAAACCAAATCTCACTCTCCGGCATTGGCATAGACTTTTCAAGCCTGCTTGGAGGGAGGCCTGAGTGTGACTGTCCTCCAAAGCAGCATGAGGGATTCAGTCTGGGCGAGGATTCAAGTGGAGCTGGTTGACTGAAAGGAACCCTTAGCAGTTTCTGGGCCTCACCTGACCCCTCCGCTTTCCCCAGGCCTCGTGGCAGGATGTTTCCTTTCAGCTTCCCAGCACAAAACTCTGGGATTCGGATAGATCATCTCCTAGCAGCTCTTGGTCTTTCTGGTGGAAGAGGGCTGCATGCAGAACCAAAGATCTTGGGGTGATGATGTCATGCACATGGGCAAAGGCAGGAGATGCCCCCTGCAACACGCTCCTCTCTCTTTGGGGGATTGCCAGGTTCCCTGCTGCTGCCCAGCTATCCTCTTACGTACCTCATCCAGTTCAGGACTATTCAGGCTAACTAATTTTCCTGTTCTCCATGATGAAAGGGGTAGATTTTTCTATTTAGTGAAAACTCTTATACAGGTAAGTCCTTGACTGACATCCAGTTGGACGTTATGACAGATCCCCTCCAAAAGATAGTTACAACCTGGTTCCAAAATTCTGAATCTGCTCCCTCCACCCCCCATGCCCTCATGTGACCACATTTCAGGTGGTCAGCAGCTATTTGCAGCCTCCCATGGTCACATGACCACAATTTATGACATTTTTGTTGAAACTGTCATTTACTTTCAGTTTTTGAGAAAAATGCCCCATGGCGAACACCGTGGAGTCATTTAAGACCATGTGATTTATTTAACAACCACCAGAAGGTATAAAATTGGATTGGTCATGGGATTGTTTTGTGATTGTCATTACTTAGGAAAATCATCAGCAAGCTCCAATACGATTGTAAGTCAAGGACTACATGTATCCAAGTCAGCTTTTTTCTCCCAAACTCATATTCCCAAGATATGAGCCTTGCCACAGCTCCTCCTTTGAGCCAGAAGCCAACATGGCCACACAAGCCAACTGGATACAGATACATGGTTATGTGCAATTGGGTTTGCCTTCAATACTGGGGACAAAGGAGAACAAGACGAAGGAAGCCTTGGGACCAACTAGGCCGACCTGCCTGTCCCCCAGAGCAGGCCAGCCCAATTATCCCATTTCCATCAGTCTCAGCACAACAAAGATGGCCTAGAGAACCATTCTGCAAGAGCATAGAAAAGATGGCTTCTCTCCAGCAGACAGAAGGGGCAGAAGGGGGCAACTGGCATTGACTTGTGGCCTTATGTAAGAGCATCTCAGGGCTACCAACCTGCAAGGAGGTCCGGTGGGACTGAATGGCAATGACGTCTGCAGGCACAGCTTCCTCTTGACTCAATTTCACCTCATAGCCTTTGACCAAGAGTTCAGCTCCTTGTGTATTCTGAATGATAACATCAACCATCTTTAGCCTACCAGAGAGGAAAAAAAAGGGAAATGTAACTTCCTGAAACATGAACAGATGTTCCCCTTTTGTCAACCAGAGACCATCCAGGCCAAGATTGCATTGTTGAACAGTAAAAGTACATTCAGAATCTTTCCCTTCCCTCCATCCCCTTCTTGCCCATTGCCACATCTGGGAACTACTGAAAGCCCTTTGAGGTGGGCTTTATCGTTGTAGAATCCATTACCAGAATTTTGAAAGCTTCTCTGCTCCTTTTTAAGGACAACACAGTCAGGAGATTCCAGGCTAACATTATGGCAAGATCGGACGTGAGGAGCGGGTCTCTGCACTCCCACGCCAAGTTCTCCCCATTGGAGGGCTCCAAAAGGAGCTAAAACCACTCTGTAGGGGTGGTGAAGAAAAGCGGTGCACCCTGCAGGTCGTGGAGAGCAGCAACTCTCCTGCTTGACCCAGGTCTTCTTCCCTCTCATCCAAAAGGAGGAGAAGAGGCAGCCATCATGTCTGCCATGAAGCTGGGATAGCCGAGGCAACAAAGAAATATGCAGGAGCAGTGTAGATGAACAGTGACTGAAACTGGGTGAGAAGATTCCTTTTTTATTTAGACCCTAACTTTTTTAAAAAAGAGGAAAATCCAGGAAACGAGACTCATAGAACTATTTCTTAAAACAGTAAACAACCATACAGAGAAAAATCCTAGACCGAAAGAAAGGAACTAAGGGGAGAAAAGTTAAAGACTTTTTAAAACATAGAAAATTGGATTCTTAAACTGGGTAGCCGTTGTTTTGGAAAGGCATTATAAAATGCTGTAACTATCTACTTGAATAGCCGACTTTGCTTTCATAAATTGAAGTAAAATGGGATTAATCAATTTATTGGACTTGAAACAATGCTGAAACCTAAGTTGAAGGCACCATCTACTGGTGGATGGAAAATATACCATACCTCTACAAGCCTAGGAAAATTCCTGATAAGAGAAATAAACAACATTCATCTGGAGGACTATCTATAGTAATAGGTAGTTACTATTCTATAACTATCTACTTTATGATTACTGGAGACTTTATTATGAGAATAAGAA